TTAGAGCGGACTGACTGCTTCTCGTCACATGGAAAACTCACTTGAGGATACCAGTTCCATTCAACAGCACGTTACAGGTGTCTTCAAAGACTTGTCCATTCGCGTCTCTGACGCTGACGTGCCAGAGACCTTCTTCCTCGTTCCACTCGGCTCCTATCACCTCATGATTGAGCTTGATGTACTTGGCCAGGTCATGTTTCTCGACAACATCCTTGAAGTACCTCCAGATCTCCGGGGACGTGGAATAGTAGTGTGTCCAGTCGGGATTCGGAGCCCAGGTGAACTGGTAGGTCGCCGAGGGGATATCACATGCACAGCCTGGGTATCTGGCAAAAAGGTCAACACCATAACGGGAAGGGGCCTCAGACTCCCTTGCTGAGATTCTTGGGAGCGCGGGCTGCGTACCTATTTTCCAACCATGTCCCTCCAATGTCCGAGTTCTTCTCGTAAAGCTGGATCGTCACATTCTCCGTCATGGTCTCGTGGAACTTTGCAAAACAGATCCCCGAGGCGCCAGCTCCGATGTGTATGACCCGAATAGGCCGCTTCGTGTTGAAGGGCTGCTCTAGGATCCTGTACCCACGCTCGTTCTGAGTAGGCCAGCCGTAAAGTTCGGGACGAAACTTCGACGTCTCGTTCGTGAGGCTATGGCCTCCGTTTAGCACAGCGCTGCCGTTTAGTGAGCCTATGTCGGGAGCCATGGTGACTGGTCCGGCTGCTTTGTCACTCCAAGAGCGTCGCAGCAAGTCAGTCAATGGAAATCAAAGCGAATTGCCTGGTTGCAAAGCGCGCCAAACAATGCGAAAGGACTACCCTCTGTAGGTCTTCTGAGCAAGAATTTTGCAACAACAAACTGAACGTCTCAGACTGGGACCAGTTCCACTCGCGATTCCAGACACTGGATCAGAGCGAAGTACCTAAAAAAAGGTTGAAAGAATACATGTATGTATGTTTGTATATCTCAATCCTTGATAATGGTTCCGGTGGATTTCAAACGTTGCTTGGAGAAACACACCACTCTATTCGACTCACTGAACCTTCGAGCAGGTGAGTTTCCATAACACAAACCGAGGCCGAGTGAGAACACCACACATATCTCGAGCCCCGGGTCCAGAGTTCTTGACTTGTCGCCGGGCATGTGGCCGAAAGTCGAGGGACGTTGGAATTTTGGAGGGCCGCCCACCGGATTCCCACAAACGCCACCTATTCTATACCATCCCGAGCACCATCCCGAGCATCATTCCGAACGCCATCACAGCAGCAACCCGCCGAGCCGAAGTCGCTCTTCGAGCCGGCAGTCCTGCCATGCTAACCAACAAATGATGGGTGAGCTTGCGATAAGGTGTGATTTTGCTATCGATGCATCGCAAATATCTTCATTTCTCACTCTTTCATGGCTTGGCGCTTCAACTGAGGGACAAATCACGGGGGTCTGTTACAAGACTTTTCGTCACACTAGAGTATCAGACAAGATATGTACATAGGCGAATCTAGTATTCTATAGCTGGAGCCTTGTCCAGTATGAGACTGAGGCTATTGCAAAACATGTGTAATTCCCGAGGGCACATTCATTCTACCTTTTCCACCAAAAACCGCTGCCAGGTCTGGAAGGTGTTCATGATGTGTTGACTTCCGCTCGACTTCCTGCCTCCCTACAGCTTTGAAGCCATGTACTTGGTGTTGGGTTTACTGTACCCGATGTCCGTCTGTGGCCACCACGGCCAGCTCTCCGGCGCGTCCTCCTGCAAGGTCCCCTTGAAACTCGGAGCTCTCTTGTCGAAAAAGCTCTTGACCCCTTCGAGATTGTCCCTGCCGCCGAACAACTGGTGCAGGAGGCGCGAGTCGAGGAGATGCGTCTCCTCCGCGCTGCCCGGCCCGCGATTGAGCATGTCCCGCATCAGTTTCAGCGACACGGTCGACGAATTGTCCGCAATCTCCTGCGCGAGCTCGAGAGCTCGCTGGACCGTCTGCTCCGGCGTCGGGAGGATCTCGGAGAACAGGTTCTGTAGGAGTGGATGGTCCGCGCGGTAGTTCGCACCGGTGGCAGTCAGGTGAAGGGCGCGCGACAGACCGATCAGGCGAGGCAGGAAATAGGACGAGCAGGCGTCGAGGACGATGCCTCGACGGGAGAAGACGAAGCCGATCTTTGCGCTAGCGCACGCGACCCTGATGGTGGCGGGCAGGCACATGGTGATGCCCACGCCGACTGCGCTGCCTTGTATCGCTGCGATGGTTGGTTTGGAGCACTGGTGGATAGCCAGTGCGACTCTTCCACCCCTGCGTCCCGTCTGTCGTGTCAGCAAGCGCCTCCTTCTTGCTCGGATCTTGACAGACAAGAGATGTGTGATGGCGGTGCCTACCGGTCTCGATGATCCACGTCTCGCTCACTCTTCCCCACCGTGTCCGTCGCACCCTTGTTGGTGCTCCCCGGCCATCCAATTTCCAGATCAGCCCCGGCACAATACATCCTTCCCGCGCCCGTCAGGACCACCACCTTGACCCTCGAGTCGACGTTGACCATGCGAAACACACTCTCGAGACTGTTACGCATCGGTCCCGTAAAGGCATTGTTCTTGTGCGGTCTGTTGAGCGTAACCAGCAAGACTGGAGTCGGGACTGGAGATGATTCCGGGACATGAGACAGTTTGATATCTGGTAGATCGAGAGAGGCATAAGAGCTGGGTAATTCGACCGGTGCTGAAGGGGGATACATGGCGGGATCTGGGACACTGGGTAGACAGTTGAAGCATTACAGATGAACCTCCGTGCAGCTTGTGGTGTTTACCATGTGCACTTATTGAGACGAGCCTGTAAGCCTCCCTCTCCCTATTCGGCTCCGAAGCAACCCTGCTCGACCAATCGGGCGTCAGGACTTTCATCGAAGCGGGTAGGGGCTAACCATAGATGGGAACTCCACATCCTCCTCGGCTGGGAAGAGGTAGGTCAAAGGGAGGGAAGTCGGGGGACCGTTGGAGCACGAGACACTACTCCAATGCCGTGTCGGCCCTCTACCTATCCTGAGGTAGACTTCCACTTTCCAAGACATTTCCAGGACTGTTCCTAGATTTATCTGGATGTACGGCCACTTATTTACGCAACACGCAGCAACATCAGTGAAAAGGGCATCCCATAAAAGAAGGCGCGGGAAAAAAAATGGCCAACCTCTTCTTCCTTCTCATTCGCTCGCCATTGAAATCCTTGCTGTTTACTTATACCTTTCTCACACAATGTCTGTTCGCGGTGGCCAGGCGGATCCTGCTGCCGCAGCTTCCGGCATTTCAATCGCTGCGCATCCTCTTTCACCGTGCCTACTTGTCGTCTTGCAGCATGCATTACCCTGAGCTGGTCCATCGCCTGCCGATTTCGGCATCCCCGGCGCGGGCGCAGAAGGTGGAGGGAAAGACCTGGACGGGATATATTATCCCGGGAACGAGCGACCTCGAATCTATTGCCAACGGTGAAAGTCACGGCCAAAGCGAGGCCGGATCCAGAACATGCGTAGTGCTCTTCGCTCACGGTGGCGGTTATGCCCGTGGAGAAGCAAGGATGTATCTGCGCTACATGGAGCGTTGGATCAGGTTCGCCCGAGAGAAAAAGGGGATGGACTTGGTCTTCGTCACCGTTGAATACCGTATGTTGCGAGCTGCCATCTCTCTATTGGGACACGGCAGGAAAGCTGAGATATGCAAACAGCGCTGACGACCAAGGCTGCACATCCGGCCCAACTCGAATCAATGCTCGGAGCGTATCGATATCTGCTGGACTTGGGGATATCCCCGTCTAGGATTACGTTCATGGGTGACTCCGCCGGAGGTGCGTGTGTCTGTTGTCTGCATCTACGTCCTTGCTAGCGTCCGAGACGTTCCCTTTGACTCTCCTAGAACTCACCAAAGAGTGCATATATAGGTGGCCTGATGGTGTTGACTGGTCTGAAACTTCTCGAACTCGGCCTACCTCAGCCCGCGGGCTCAGTGCTCGTGTCGCCGTGGCTGGACCTCGCCCTCGACGCATTCAGGAGCGGGAACGCCTCCGTCGAAACCGACTACGTCGTCACAGGGAACACGATCCTCCCCTTATTCGCCGACATGTTTCTCCGAGGCACGGGCCTGAAGGGATCTGACCCCGAGATCAATCCGCTGCGCAGGAAACCCAGCGAGCTCAGGGGTCTCCACCGACAATTGATATTCGTGGGCTCTGCCGAAGTGGTGACCCAGGAGGGGAAACGGTGGGCGGACGTGTGTGAGGCTGCGGATATCGAGAACAAACTCGTGATCGAGCCGGGCCAGTTGCATGTCTATGCCATGGGATCATCTTGGATCGACCCGGGTGTACGAAACAAGACGGATGGCATCATCGTTGATTGGATATGGGATTGCTGTTTTCGGGATGTATCAAACTCTACAAGAACCGTAGGTTCTGTCGGCATGAATGCGTAAAACGTGGCCACAGCCTTTGACCACACGACAGGAAGACGGGTGTCTGGAAGAGTTGTCGGAGGTAGTCGCAAGGGGAGAAAAGACAATACGATGCATAATTGAGGGACACACGCTTGTAGACAGGAGTCTCTGACCCTCGCGTGAAAAACTTGCTGACTACTATGTAGCTAAATCTGAATCCATAAAGGGAATGGCCTTGCCTGGGATCCTTACAGGCCGGCACTGGTGGCCTTGTGGGCCCCCGGTTAGCTCAGCCTCGTCTGCGTCGGCTCGGCAGGTACAAGGCTGCGGCTCCCGGCTTATCGGCATTCACCATATCAACAGACTTACTAGGCCAGCAAACGCAGTCTGCAGGGGACAGAAAATGGCCTAGAAACAACAATGATGCTTCTTTTGACTTGGCTACATTCTCCATATGTTCTGCCCCAGAGAACTCTGACCTCTGAGACCTCTGCGTACTCGGTCCATGCACGTGGAACCCTCCCCCACTCTTGCAGGTGCACCGCGTCCAGACACTCCCCTGAGGCTAGCAAGCTCGACTACACACGGAGCTGTGCTCATGTTTCAATTCTTCCCATCTTTTGTGACGGCCAGATTCTCGTGAGTCTCAGCCCTCGCCATTCCCTTTTCCTTCTCCGCGTCTGCTGCCTCGGCCGCCTCCTCTTCCAACACCGCTTCCTCAAAGCTCAAGTTGACCTCGTCCCCGAAAAGGATACCCATGTCTTCCAGTGTCTTCCCTTTTGTCTCGGGGAGGTAGAAGTATACGAGAAGCCAGTACACGACACTGAGTGCGATCAAGACGATGTAGAACTTGTAGCCGATATTCGAAAACGCTGTGGGGGCGACCTCGAGGAGGATGACGGTGGCGAGGAACTGACCCATGACGCTAAACGAAATGCCGAAGCTTCGGACCACCATGGGAAAGATCTCAGAGGGAATGATATACTGCGGGGAGGACAAGTTTCAGCAATAAAAGCCAAAGCAAAATGTTCAAAGGACCAATCGCTTACCATGGTGGCGTCACAGAATCCCGAGTAAAAAAGGACAAAAAGGAAGATGAAGAAGACGCCAAATCCCAGGCCGACCTTGTTAGTAGATCCGGTCTCGACGAAACGGGCTGTCATGGCAGCCTCTCCCGCCAGACAAACAATGAGACCCACGATTCCGATCACTAGACACGTGGAGTCAACAATGACATGCTTAGGGGCTGTAAGACAAGGATCACCTACACATGTATCTTCTGCGGCCAACCCTGTCGACGAGAATTGAACAGGACAAATTTCCAAAGATGCAGAGCAGGTTCATCAGACCTATAGCACCCTGGTCAATCCACTGAATGAAGAGTCGCCCCCAGGAGGAAATCTGCTTGTACTTACTGAGCATTAGCAGCGGCATATGGTCTTTGAGACCCAGGCTGGCAAATATGCGAGCACTGTAGTTGCTGATAACCAGCGACCCAGTGCACATGTTCCCGAATTGCACTAGAAAGCCCAATCCCAGGCGTCGCATAAGACTCTTGGTGCGGAAAGTCAACCTGGCTTGGCCCCAAGGGCCTACTACATTGTGCCGGCGCTCGAAGTTGATCTGCTCCCGGATCTGCCTGAACTCGGCGTGGGCGTAAGTGTCATGAGTGTCGGATTTGGAGGCGTGGAGGCGGCGCAGCGTGTCCCAAGCTTTGTCGTCCTGACCTTGACTCATAACTTCAGAGAACAGTCAGCAACGGGGTGCTCAGCAGGGTGAAGTCAATAGAGCAAGCGTACGCCACCGTGGAGAGTATGGAAGGGCAAAGGAGCCGAGGAACAAGATGGCAGTCGGCGCAATCTGGACACCCAGAGGAAATCGCCATTGGAACTGTCCATATTTCGCAAACGAACACCCGTACGTGACGAAGCCTGGCTCCGGGTCAGTCGTCTAACCCTGGTCAAAGTGAGTCCAGCCATCTTACAGGACAAACAATACGCGGTGCCTGTCAAACCGTCAGAAGCGGTTCCTCAAGTTGAACCAGATGTCTCGAGGAAACGACGGACCTATAAGCACTCCGTGCATTCCAACCATGAACCCACGTGAATCTGCAGGTGCAATCTCGGCTTGATATAGTGGAACCAATGTCACCAGCTCTCCTATGGGGTATGTGAGCTGAAATCCAGGGTGTTCATGCTGGCACGGCTCTCCTACCGATACCGAAGCCCTAGTAATATGAATCAGTTTGTTGCGCGAGAGAAAGGTACCGGGGTCTACTGAAACACGTACCATGATGAAACGGCTCACGACGAACATGGGGACATTGACCGATGCCGTGGATATGATGGCTCCGGTGGTCGCAATCAGACTGCCAATCTGCAGACCTCTTTTACGACCATAATATTCCGAGGACCATATATTGAATCCGCAGCCGAGTGCACCTGTATCAAAGTCCTCAGTAGGATATCCCTGGAGGGGGCCCAGGCACCAAAATCACCTCCTGCCGAGTAAACCCCATTGACCGTGCCGATGATCTTGTGCTCAGTCAGTAGATGCATGGAGAATGCGGGTCTGTAGACGTACAGCGTTTGTGTAGCTGCCTTGGATGTCGAGACCCATATAGTCGTACCATGAGGGTACCCCTGGAGACGGACATCCATGAGTGCCAATGCTTTCACCGCGCATCGAGTCCTCTTACCAAGAAGTGCCCCGAACACTGAGGATGCATATCCATAGCCTGGGGTCGACGGTCAACCGTTTGTCATCGTTCACCAACACCCGACAAAGGACCTACTCAAGCTGCCAAAAGCGACAAAGAGGGCTATTAGGGGCACGTAGGCGTTGCGTGGCCGGGGAATCAATCTTGTCTTTGTACTGATGCCGGTCGTCATGGTGGCTGCTGTCTGCACGAATTGAGACAGATGAAAGCTTGCCGAGAATCCTGGGGATTTTGAACTACAACGGGGATTCTGGGGTAGAAAACGTGTTTCTTTAATACCAATCCGCCAATATCTTTGTATTTCCGAACCATGCGGCCGGTGCTCGGCAGCTAGTTGTTGTGCTAGAAGCCGACCAAGGAGAACAAAGTCCGACAAAGTCTGTTTAGGACCCGAGAATTCGTTAACTGCTCTTTTTTTTTTCCTTTCAGGGAGACCACGAGTTTAGCTCATGGTGGTGAAACTCAGTTGTTGAGCCGGACTTGGGGGTTCTGGGCCGGTATAGATCAGAGCCGTGTATACCCTGATCAAGGTTCGAAGGACACCGGCAGATGTACAACAGAGGGGTTGATAATGAAGCCACAATTATGTTCGATATTATGAAAGGAATTAGGTCTCAAGGAAAGATACTATTTGTGTAGATGTTTTGGGCTTAGATGTATATGCACTTCTACGTCCGCAGGATGTGCTCGACCATGGCACTTGTCTCAACACGCAATACCTCCGTCAACAGAGTAGACCGCCCCAGTAATAAAGCTGGCATCGTCGCTGAGAAGAAAGGCAATGAGGTTGGCCGGCTCCTCGGGCTGGCCCAACCGCCTGAGAGCCATGCCCTGATATGTCTTGGTGACAGGATGTTCACTGTCGGTACCTCCGGCCTCTTTCAACAGCCTCTCAAACAGTGGAGTTTGGATCGGGCCACTATCATTGTCGTCGCTCAGGTTAGTATAAAGTCCCGTATACCCCTTTACAATGTAATTGGAGGGAGAGAAAAGAGGCTCGGAAAATGCTATCACTCACGGCGCAATGGCGTTCACTCTGATGCCCTTTGGTCCGACGTCTTTGGCCACCGTCCTGGTCAGGCCTACAACTCCATGTTTGCTCGTCGAATAAGCCGAGATGCCATTCCTGCCCATGACTCCCGCGAGGCTGGATACGTTCACGATCGAGGCACCCGCCTTCATTACTCGCAGCTGGGCCCGGACGCAGTACATGAGCCCCGTCAAGTTTATGGACAGGACATAATCCCATTCCTCGTCGGTCGTGTCGGTGAGGTCAGCGAAGAGACGAGTCTTGCCGTCTACCGCGGCCAGATTTGCTGCTCCATCCAGACGGCCAAATTTCTGGCTAGTCGATGTGATCCAGTCGTCGACAGCTTTGCTCGAGGCGACATCTACCTTGGTTCCGACGACTTTGGCCCCAGTCCTGCTGATTTCGGACACGACTTGCTTCAGGTCTTCATCCTGGATGTCGGCTAGAGCCAACGTGGCGCCGCGAGAGGCGCAAATCTTGGACAGAGCCTTCCCAATCCCTGAGGCTGCCCCGGTGATTGCAATGACCTTACCCTGGAGACTTGCCATGGCCGACGAGATAGGTCAAAAGTCTTGTCTTGGGGCGCCTCGTATCGAACACTTTGCCAAAGCGTTCTTAGATTGTACAAGATGTCGGGAGAAGGAGAAGTTCTTCGAGCAATTGGAAGCCGGGGGTTGGTTTCTGCTGACCTCCTCACAACTCAAGAACTTATATCGCTCTCTACGGTCTACATACAAGGCCATAGTACAAAATAGCTCAACCGACTGGTTCGGAGAGTCACAACTACAGAGGGCGGAGGGTCTCCTACGCTAGATCTCCCACGGCTGTGCCCTCCAGCATTGTTTGTCATTCTCGAGTACTTATTTCCACGAGCCGAAGCTTCGGCGCCGAGTGAGTGTCTTACCGGACACTACAACCACAGAATTTTACTTGGCTCCGGTTCCACTTGGTTCTCGAGAATCTCGTTCTACTGACGCACTTGAGAATGAGAGTGGAGGAGGTCCTTGCCGCCATCACCCAATCTCCCAGGGAGCCAAGTGACCAGCTGGGCGCCATGATCTCGCCACCATCACTAACCCCTCGGTTACCTTCCCTCGCGCCCCACGGGGGGCTCAGGTGCTGAGTTATTTGGTGCGGGGGGGTTGATTTTGAGTTCCGATGGTGAGAGAATTGCAAGGCTCGTGGTAAATCGTCAAGGTCAAGCTCCCAAGTTGCGACTCTGCTCTGTAGCGACCCCGACTATCTTCAATTTCCCGCACATGTAATCCACCATGGCGACAGAATTTCCGACAGAAGACACACAGGGAGTAGAGAATGGAGATACACAAGGCTCTGCGACCACGTCCGAGGGCAACAGAGCTCGCAAGAAGGGCAGGGCCTGCATTCCGTGCCACGAACGCAAGCTCAAGTGCAACGCCTCGGGACTAGGAAGTCCCTGCACTCGATGCATCACCAGCGGCCGAGCAGATATCTGTATACCTTTCCCAGAGAGACCACGATGGTACGATCAGGCACTACCTGCAGACCTATACATTTCATATCTAACACGTGAAAAAAACAGCGTCAAACGAAGAAAGACAGCGAATACGTCGTACGCGAGTGTGCCAGATGTTTTGGGAGAAACCCAACTTCAGGGCTCTGATCACATAGGCGTAAGAGCTGATTCAGTGGGATGAACCTGGTTGAGTAGACACATTACATGTTGCTGACAAAAGTCCAGACGTCGCTGGTCGAAATCAATCCCTTGTTGGATGACCCTCGTAATATATCGAACTTGAATGACAATCCTCCAGCGAACGAGCACAACTCTGGAACAAAAGCCTCTGATGGTGAGTTGTCTGCCCGCACCTCCACTTGCTGGTTCGTCAGTCCCCTGGGCTCCAAAGCGACTGACCATGAAACTTTGGCAAAAGGGACGGACGAGTCTTGCGTAGCAGTCGAGGAGGAAGACGCGCACCTGCAAATGTACTTGGAGATGTCCAAGTGGCCGTTCGACGGGGCATCACCCACGAAATTGTCGCACCCGGAAAGCGGCAGGGAAGTCATCGAGCTTTTGGAAGGCGAAGATTCGATTGCGATATTGGGCGAGGCCCTCGGACGCAAGCAGCGCGGGAGACTCGTGCGCATCGTCCTCAAAGATCCCCATCGCCCGGGGGATCCATCTCGGAGCCACCCTCAGATGGACGCGGTCGACTACGAATATTTACAACGAAAAGGCGCCTTTAGGATGCCGCCCCGTGAGGCACGGTAAGGCAATTCGTCGCTCGTCTTCTCCGGGACCACTTGCGGGGACAGATGCTAACGGGGAAACAGTGATAAGATGATTCGTTTGTATTTCGAGCGCGTCTATCCCTATACACCCGTACTGGACCGAGAAGAGTTCATACAGGAGTACAGAGCGGATCAGTGCTCGCCCTTTGTGCTCTCGGCGATGCTGGCCAATGTGGTTCCCTATATGTCGCTGGAGCTCTTACTCGAAGCTGGCTTCTCAGACCGCCTGGCCGCGCAAAAGTCATTCTATTCCAAGGCGCAATTGCTCTACGACTTTTGCGCCGAGAGGAGGCCGCTCCGGCTCCTCCAGGGTTCCCTGATCCTGAGCTCCCTGAGTCCGTCCTTCTCGCCAGACCGGGACTTTCGCTACTGGCTGACAAACTCGGTGCGGTTGGCGATCCAGATGGGATTCCACCGCGAACACGTCCTCAAGAACTTGGGCCCGGGCACGGCGAAGCTGTTTCGTCGAATCTGGTGGACGCTGTACAACCGAGACGTCCTCTTGAATGTGTCGGGTCACTATACCGTCAGGAGGATTCGCGACTGCGACTTTGACACAAAAAGTCTCACCGAAGACGACTGGGAACCACCGACGGCGGAGCCCCTGGACGATCTGATCCCCCCGATTCCTCGTATACAAAAGCTCTATTTCCTCGAGGCGTGCAAATTGTCAATCATATGTATGTATTGTTGCCTCGTCGTCACTTTGACAATCCCCTCCCTAACTCTCATGACTAAGTTTGTACGGGACTAGGCGGACAATTTATCCAGACATTCCGCACAGCAGGAGTAACGCCGTCAGAAGAGGACTGTCTGAGGGTGGGAAATGCGCTCACAAGCTGGCGGTGTGCACTGCCAGTCGAGTTTCACCTGGAGGGCGTTGGCCAATGGACGGCTCAAAACATATGGATCCTGTTGATCATTGCGTTGAGCTATCGACTGGAATGCATTCTTTGCCGTGCTCTTCGGCAGCGGTATCAATCATTCAACGACCACGAGAAGGCCCAAGAAGCCGCGCAAAAGCAGGAGAATGCCTTGTTCGAGGTGGATACGGTCATTGAACGGGTTCTCCAGAACGGAATCGCGCACCTGTTTCCCCTGTCGCTGTATGTCCCTGCATGACCCCCTGTGTGTACCCTCGTAACTTTTCCCCCCAAATCCCGAAAGTGCCCACTAACGAGTGTGACTCCTGGGTTTCCAGAACGACCTGTGTCTCTGCGGTGCTGGCATTGCACATTGAAAGCGCCCTCCAGCCAAACATTTCCCCCGGGCAAAAGTTTGTGACTCGGGCTCGGATCCACACGGGATTGACATACATGCGCGAGACGTGTGAGTACTGGGGTGCGCTGAAGTGGACGCTGCGCATGTTGGAAGTCATCGTCGAGCAAACCGGGCTGTCTGCGACCCCGACCGCGAAACCCGTCGCCGATGCCGACGGTTCCAACACGACCGATCCTCCCCGAAGTCCACAGTTCTCCATCTCGTTCAGCGAGGTTGACGACACGCTGAACCTGGGCGTGGATGACCTGTGGGGTCCCCTGATGCGCCGGGACGATGACTGGGTCCAGGATTTCCTGGGCTCGAACCTCCTGAGGCCGGACACGGATTTCGACCTGTGACCAGCCGCTCCAGGTCGTCGAATCGAGGAGGCATTTTCTTAGACCAGACAAACAACGATATTCCCGACGTATATTTCACCTGCATGGCGGACTCGGTGTTCGATGGGCAGAGGAAGACTTGCGTTACGCCTGTAGAGCGACATGGTCCTGGTGCTGTCTGTACTTGTAGATAGATTAGCTCAAGCCGTATACTCAGGTCTATGGGTTGGACATTTGCAGCCGACAGCATCAATGGAAGCTTGTTTCCAGAGTCCATATATACGTGCAAACACCTCCGTGCCATTCTGGAGATTGGTCCAGCGACTCCTCAACTCCGAGTAGATGTTAGTCTGGTAATTATAACTCCCAGTCTGGCTTGTCATGCATGAGCCCTAGAGGGACAAAGAGCAGATTCTCGACAAAAGGCACCGTAGCCGTACCGTACCGTGTCGTGTCTATGTCCGATCCCCGGACCCTGCCTCGGGAGTTTGTCTGGGGTCTGGGGTCATGCGAGCTCCAAGCCGTTAGTACAAAATCATCGGCCCAGATGGTCGTCGTTCGGCTGAACTCAGTTGCTCGATCGGCTCGACTCGGCCGCAAACAGCACCAGATCCCACGTACAGAGAGTGCTACGACTGATGACATCGGGTTGTCCATGTATGTATGGATATTATCGTTTAGCTTTTTGCTTCTTACTGATACTATTGCTTTTTCTCCCTGCAACGCCGCGCCCCGCACCAGGTCAGACATTGTGTCCGAATATTTCCTTGTATCTACCTGCTCGTATTGTTTATATCCGTACGCCCAAGAGCTCTAGGTCGAGATCAGATCAAGTTATATAGATTCCCTGTCACATTATTGCGGTACCGCAGCTTATTTAATAACTTTTTCTCTATATATATCTCCATCCACGTTCGAGGATACCCAAGCCTCAGAGCAATGGCATATGCAAAAGGAGTGGTAGACTGTACCCGAGAGCCCGATACGTCGAGGCTCAAGGGGAAGAGCGTCATCATCACAGGAGGTGAGTTGAACATACCTATACAAGCTATGGTACTAGAGTCAACAACCACGTACTAATGCATTCCCGTGCGCCATGTGTGATTAGGTGCGAATGGAATGGGTTTGGAAGCTGTCAAACTGTTTGCTCAGGCTGAGTGGGTTTTCCCTTCCCTGTCTCTCCTGGTCCTGCTCGCTCGCTTGGTCTTCACTAACATACAACAGCGCCTTTGTGACATTCTGCGACGTGAATGAGGCCGAGGGCAAAAAGGTTGAGGCGCAACTTGGACTGTGAGTTTGATGACCGACATTCCCCCCCAAGCAGATCACTGGATAATCCATATGTGCGGCGGTGCTGACTCGGGGTAGAAGCAACGTCAACTTCGTCAAGGCCGACGTGACCAAGTGGGAAGATCAGGTGCAGGTGTTCAAGGCCGCCAAAGCAAAGTCGCCGCATAACAGCGTCGATGTCGTTATTGCCAATGCGGGAATCAGCGGCGCAGATATTCTTCACAAGGTGGACGGTATGGTTATCCCCTTTCCTATCTCTGTCAGTGATTTAAGCTGTCGCTCACAATGTGTCAACCGCCTCAATAGACAGCGATGAAGCAGTCAAGCCAGAACTGAGTATCGTCAACATCGATCTCATCGGCGTCATGTACACGCTGAAGCTGGCGCGCCATTACTTTGCCCGGCAGCCCGACACTGAGGAGAGAGATCGATGCTTTATGATCACGGCCAGCCTGGCCGGGTTTATGGACTTACCTGAGTCGCCACAGTACACGGCGGCGAAATGGGGATGCCGTGGTCTGATGCGTTGCCTTCGTCGGACCAGCGTTCTGGACAAGACGAGATACAACAATATCTGCCCGTGGTATGTTTTGTCTCTTCTTTTGATGAAAAATCAAAGGGAACAAGGGTTATTGTATTGTGTATTAACCACCCGATAACAAGGTTCATATCGTCCGCCATCCGCCCTCCCCAAGTCGAGGCCTACTACTTGAGCAAAGGTATCTCATTCTGTCAAGGCTCCGACGCCGCCCGGGCCATGGTATACGTCGCCAGCGATAAATCCATCAATGGTTAGCTAAGCCTCCTAACCTCTTGAGGAAAACTCAATAGCTAATGTTTCCAGGCCGATCTTTGGCCATTCTCCCGCGAGAAATCGCCGCCGCAGGGTTCAGGGACGTAAACCTGGATGACTACGAGGATGGGGATTTGCTAGATACTTTTCAGAACCAGTTGATTGCCATCAATCGGAATTTGAACGATGCGGCGGCAGCCACTACAAAATAGAAAACCTATATATCTCGCGGGATCCTGGGATGAATTGTCTATCACAATAGAGATTCCGGGTGTGGGAGGGGCCACTCTACTGAAGGGGCCATATATTCATATACATATGCTTGTACAAGGCAACATTTAAGACTATTTCCCTCCCCCCTCATTTTTTGGCCTGGTTTTCCTCCTATCAGACGGTCAGACATTGATTGGTTATCAACACACCACCCACGAACAACTAAGTATATGCTGCCAGCTGGTAGCTAGTAGCTAGCACTGGCCAGATCTATCCCGATGCGTCCTGACAAGGTAGCTGTCCGGCTCGCAGATCGGCTCTTGTCAACCAACCTACGGCTCTTCCTGTCCACCCACTCATTCACCGGCAACACCCCTCTCCTTGGACCAAGTGGATATCCTCTGAACATCCTGGCCCGAACACTTGGAGTCGCGCTCCTGAATGAACACGCGCCGATAGGCCATCTGTGCCCTCCGGCTCACGGCCTCTGCTCGAAAGTGGGCATCCGGGATGCCAGGGTGATGAATCTATCTATCTGTACCTCGCTGGCCAGATACAGCCACAGTGACAGTGCTAGTTACTTGTAGGAGCTTGCCATCTATCTACCTTCCTAGTGATCTACGTGTATCTGCCTTTTATATCCTTTAGCCCTTATTTGGTCTTGTCCTTTGTTCGACTGTGTGCCGCTTGGGATATATAGATACTACACGATACACGATATTTTGCCCAGGTTCAACAGACTCGGTGAATCCTATGCGGACTTAGCTTGCCAGTTCGAACAAACATGCCGTTCGAGACAGAACTTACTCGTCGGCTGGGGATTCGAGGTATTTTACCATTTACTATACCTTTCCGAAAACCATTCATTTGAGCTTGCACACTGCTAATTCGACCACCCAGTCCCTGTCGTCCAGGGTGGAATGCAATGGGTCGGCTACGCGGAGCTGGCCTCTGCCGTGTCCAATGCCGGCGGTCTAGGGATTGTAGGTACAACGGCACGATGTCGGATTTGCCATTGATAAGGTGTTGTGAAGAGAGGAACAAAAGAAAAACTGACCTTTTCCTCACCAGCTGACGGCCCTGACGCAACCGACGCCTGAAGATCTGAGGCTAGAGATCCGGAAGTGCAGGACCATGACCGACAAGCCGTTCGGCGTCAACATCACCCTCCTGCCCACGCTGAACGCCCCGCCGTACCTGGAATACGCGCAGGTGGCCATTGACGAGGGCGTGCGCATCATTGAAACGGCGGGAAACTCTCCGGGCCCGGTGATCGCCCGACTCAAAGACGCAGGCTGCACCGTCCTGCACAAATGCACCACCATCAGACACGCCGCGTCGGCCGTCAAGCTCGGGGTGGATTTCCTGAGCATCGACGGGTTCGAGTGCGCGGGACACGTGGGCGAGTCGGACATCACCAACCTGATCCTGCTGTCCCGCGCGAGACAGTCTCTCGGTATCCCGTTCATCGCCTCGGGCGGCTTCGCAGACGGGTACGGCCTCGCGGCCGCCCTCAGCCTGGGCGCCGAGGGCATCAACATGGGCACGCGGTTCATGTGCACGATCGAAGCCCCCGTCCACCAGAACATCAAACAGGCCATCGTCGACGCGCAGGAGACCGACACCCAGCTCGTCCTCCGCCGATGGCGGAATACCTCGCGCCTGTTCAAGAACAAGGTGACGGCCGAAGCGACGCGGATCGAGCGCGAAAGCACGACGGGCAACTTCGACGAAGTCGCGCCGTACGTCTCCGGCAAGCGCGGCCGACAGGTCTTTCTCAACGGCGACAAGGACTTTGGCGTCTGGACCGCCGGCCAGGTCATCGGCCTGATCCACGACATTCCCTCGTGTAGAGACCTGATCGATCGGATTGAGCGGGAAGCCGTCGACGTGTTGGACAGGAGCCGGAGGTTGTACAAGCCACATGCCAAACAGCAGGGGAGATTGTAGAGGGCGCTCGAGGTATCGACCTATCTCTGGTTCAGGAACGGAATTCCTGTCTTCGGGTCCCGTTAGAAATCCATAGATGATGTACTCGTTCGACCGCTCTTGAAACCATATATGCGTCAAGCTCTGCCAAACGATCCAATCTCCCAACTCTCCATGCTGATGTACATGATCCGAAATGATGGGTATCAATATAGCGCATTGGTACTAACACCTTTATTCCGGCATAATCAACAAATCAAGTGGCCAAGTCGACCGGAGAAAAGGAGGAAATACAGCGGGCCGGAGTAACGAAAAGAGACTTTGGGGTAAAACCAAGCATGATCACATGAACCTTTTTGATGGGATATCATGGAACATCTGTATTTTTTGCGGAGGAATATATTATATTTTTCTTCACTCTCGCAGTCTAGGTACCGTAGCTCACAACCTCGCTCTCGTCTCTCCGACCGTCCGCTCGTCTGCCTCCCCCAGAGCGAGATGGCGGATCCGTCTCCTCGCCGCCTCGGGGCCCTCGCCCTTGATGATCTCGTCGGTCGTCCAGTCGGGGTTGAACGTCGCGCGGTTGAGCGGGTTGACCACGTGTGCGCGCCGGAACAGGTCGTTGTACACGTCCCCGTCGTACCGGCCCAGCGAGCTGGCGAGCAGGTAGTCCGGGATGGACCAGGCGTCGACGAGCCGGACGGCGTGGGGCCGGACCCGCGCCATGAGCGCCTCGATGCGGCGCGTCGTGTGTCGGAGCTGGGCGACCTGGGCGGCATTGGAGGTCAGGAATTCCAGCGCCGAGGCGTCGAGCGTGAACAGCGCAAAGAGTCGGAATAGCACGCCGAGGAGCGATGCCGTGTCTCGATCTAGTGCACCGTTCGGGCTGGAGCTGGTGCTGGACGCCGCAGTCACCGCGTTGTAAAAGTTCGAGACGAGCAGGCTTTCCGAGTGCGCCTTGCTGGCTCTGTGGAGGGAGATCATCAGGCTGGTCCACGGCCGGCATTCGACCACGCGGGCTTGATAGAGCTGATAAGACAGGTACGCGGCGCGATGTTGGAACGCCTTGACCAAGTCCTCATCGCACTCGAAAATGTCAAATGTATGGGGGACCACGTCCCGGGCACGGAGGAACTCTTTAAACTGGACATCTATCGGCTCCTGCGCCGGAGTATCCGGGTACTTGATGGCTTCGGACATTCGTTTGATCAGGTAAGTCGCCGTCTGTTGCGTGATCATCCAATTATCCCCCTCAACGGTCGGTTTGGACAGGTACTCGTTGTTCAGGGCGACCATGCCGCTGTCGCCCCCGAACCCGTGCCCGCCCATCGCTCGTCTGCAGGTTTCGATCCCGTCGGCCACGAGGGTCGTGCACAGCGACTTCAAGCCCGACGAGCTTGCGTGCATCTCGGCCAGCCGCGAAAAGTCGCCTTTTTGTTCAATCGACGCCCGGGTTTGCCAGTAGAGACTCTCCATCGCGGCCCCAGTGTAGTGGAGGGCAAAGACCGTGGCAAGCAGGGGTAGGATCCTGATCTGCACCGTGGGGTAGTTCAACACGGCCTGCTCAGGTGCGTCGCCTCTCGCATCTCGATCTGGAAACTGATGTCTGATCGAGAGGTAGCGCACGGCGACGGTGCACGCCCTCGCCAGCACCAGTCGGGCGTGCATGACGATCTGCGCGCGGACATACGTCAACGAGCCGTACACCATCGCCGGCTTCTCTGACGCGGTATTTGGGATCCCAAGCTCGGCGTTGAACCTCGCGTACCTCGACAAAAGCGCCGAAGAGGGCACCCTTAGGTGGTCGAAGAGCATGTAGCCATTGTCCATGGCGGCGTATCCGTACTTGGGCCCAATATCGCCAATGGTGATCCTCGGCAAGGGTTCGAACGTCTTCATATCGCGCACCTGCACGATGAACTGGTGCGGCCCGTACGACTTGTAGAGGTTGGTCTTCGGGTCCGGCGCAAGGAGCTGTGCCACCACCACGGCGTGGTTCGCGGTCCTGCCTAGACTTCCACACCACCACTTGCTGGCGGTTAGTGTCGGACTGTGTATTTCGAACTCTCTCGTTCGAGGGTCCCATCTGGCGACGCACTCCAGCCCCTTGACGTTACTGCCGTGTCCGAGTTCGGTCTGGCAGTAGGCGCCGATGATTTCCCAGTTGTCGACTTTTGGAAGCCAATACTCCTTTTGCGCGTCGCTGCCTTGTTCGCGAATCGATGTTTTGAACAGGAGAAGCTGCAGAGCATAAGGGCCCATCTCGTCGATGAGATAGCTCGCCATGTTGTAGTCTTGTTCGTCCCAGCCATGTTTGGTCGCGAGCCGTGTAACCGTTTTGGCTCGAGCGAGGCCGAGTTGGTATCTTTCCGGATGGCCCAGGTTGAGTTGGTTCTGCTTCGAAAAGACTGGCTCTCGCGCCAAAATTCGCAAGATTCTCTTCTGCCGCTCGAGGAATTCGTCCGCGAGCAAGTGTCTCGCAAGCTGCTCGGTGTCGATGCTGGACCGAGCGCGCTCATCCGCCAGGATCTGAGTGCATTGGGGGTCTGCTGGCTTCAGCCGCTGCGTAAAGTCGGCCATGACTACCAGAATCCTCGACGGCGAATTGGAAACAAGCAAGACAAACAGCCTTGTACCACACCATCTTCGAAGGCTCTAGGAATGTTTACTGACTTTGTGTTCCTCGAGATTCATGCAAATGAGGCTCCGTTGTCGGTAACCAGAAACCATGTCGTCCGAGCCGATCGCAGCTAGGCCGATCCTAGCCGTATATGGCCTTAGGCTTTAGGAATGAAAGCTGCGGTCGGCGGCGATAGCTGTTCTGTGATGGCGAGAGACCACCGGTCGGCGATTGGAGGAACCGGCCGCAGTGAGAAATCTGAGCCGAATACATGTACGTCCCTGAGAAGACAAGCCGCCGATCCTGACCACACGCCGAATTACAGGCTCTGCCGAGATAGCCTAGATCAGGAGACTCCTCGATTCTTTGCTACATCACTCCATCATGGTAGCGGGTTGTCGTAACATTCGAATGTTGACTGATGGCGTCGTCCAGAAGTACCGGATACTCAAGACATGGTCTTGTATACAGTAATATCCGAGATGAGTAAGGCACATAGAAGAGAATGGACATCAACAAACAAGACAAGACCAGAACCCAATCAGCAGGGGATGTGGCCTTCATTGGACTTCTATAGGCGTGTTTGTATACCGCGCGCTATTTATCAAAGAAAGAGAGTCTAGCAGGACTAAAGTTTCCACTGACTTCAAGCAACTCGCCCATTCATTAGTGACCATTTTGGTTGTTGTGACCATTCTGACCATTCTGACCGCTGTGGCCATTTTGGCCCTGACCATTTGCTTGCTTGGCCCTGAGCTGTCGCTCGCGACGGCTTTCGCTTGCGGGATCGAAAAAGGCTATAGGTAGTGTGTCCCATTCCACTCCCCTACCCTCTAGGGGAGAGGGAAGAGGACGAAATTGTCAGCGTGGAGGAACTGGGAACTAGGGGAAAAGTCCAAACTTACGCTTCTCGCCAAACACCGTCGTCCGGATGCCTCTCCTGGGACTATCGTACGTCCCTGGGATGACGCGGTGCGCGGTACATCTGCCGTTCGTAGCAAATGGCGATTGCAGGTCAGTCGTCGGATCTATGAGTCCATGAAGGGGTGAGACTTGGTTATGATTTGCATACCTGTTGTCCCACATGGCCACGCTGCCCACGGCCCATTTCCAGCGCACATAGTGGTCGTCGGCGGAATGCAGGTGGTATTCGAAGAACTCGAGAAGTTTGTCTGTTTTGAGTGGTGAAGGTCACGCCATATGGTTAGCGATAGAGTAGACTTGAAACAGCCAAACAGCCCGTGCACAAGACGAGAGGGAACAAGCCAGGGTAGAAGGATGTTGCAAAAGACCACATGGAGAGACCATTCATACCTGACTCCTTCTTATTGAGTTCCGCGAAGCCCGTCACAAAGCCGGGATTGATGTTCAGCGCTTTAAGCCCGGTGACTGGGTGGGTGCGGACGGCTGGGTGGTGAGTATCGATGGGCGGACGGTTTGGGCCGACACCCCAGAGGTCGAGGATTGTGTCGTCTGCAGAAATGTCATGGTAAGTTAGTAAGTCAATTCGACCAACTTGTTCCTGAGTCTTTCCCGCATTCCCCACCAGAATGCAAACGGGACAGGAGACTGACATTGAAGCCGCGACGTGTGGACGGCGTGCAGTCCTTCGACAAACTTTTGCAAGGCTTTACTCAAGGCATCGTATGTGCCGTACTGCGAGATCTGTGCTCTCGGTATTAGTACTCGCTCTCCTGGACGGTATATCATAGATAAGGCGGTTTGACGTACCCATGCAGTGTCACCTCCAACTTCAGGGTGCTCTTCCATCCGCAAAAGAGAGTATGAGGGAGCTGTGACAACAAATATCAGCTCTAGCCCAGATGCCCTACCGGATGAACTTCAACCAGCAACAAGGGAATGAATGACGCACGGTTGATCTCAAAGGATGTGTCGGCATGCCAGTCTCCCTGAGGCTGTGGACCGTCAATTCAATCCAATACGCGAAGCAGGGCGGTGTTGCGCACCCAGGGAGTATATTTCAATATCTCACGGTGGTCCTCCTGACTCCCTTTGATCACCACATGCTAGAATCTCTTAGCTGACAACGGCCTTTGTCGACCTGCATGTAGGGAGCTAGCTACCTTTTGAGTCTGGTTGAATCTCGATCAGCAACACTTCTGGCGAAAGTGGTGTCTTCAAATCAGCCATGACAAGATTGGACGTACCTTCTGAGCCGGATGTCGGTCGAGAGTTCCTATCAACCGCACTCCCTCAGTCCCCATGAACACTTCAGAGAATTGAACCGGGAATCACTGGAAGAGTTTACCATAGTGCTCAAAAAGCTTGTACTGTCCCTCGGTCGTGAGGTCCTGGTCGCGGAAAAACACCACGCCCCTCTCCGTGACGAGCAGGGCGAGTTCGTCGAGCTGTTTCTCGTCCAACTGCGAGAGCTGGACGTTTTCCAGCAGCGTGCCGATAGATTCGGTCAGGTCCACGCGCTTCGCCACCGCGAAGAGGGCTTTCTTCTCGGGATCGGCAAACAGCGCGCGGTCCTTTTCCGGTTTGATCTCCTCGCGCAGAGGCTCTGGCGGGACCCAGTCCTTGATCTTTGCGTTGAACCCTGGATGCAAAGTGACGGGGAAGCCCGAGTCAGGGGAAACAAATTTTCGAGCTTCGAGGTGTGCCATTGCAGCGGAGGGCGATATCTGAATGGTGCTATCTATACAGAGGGACGAGAGGTTCGAAAGTATCTTTCAAGAGAACTCCCTGAGAGAGGAACAAAGGCAGCACTAGCAACGATCGATTGAGATGAAACAAAGGTAACCTCTCGATAAACAGATGAATTCTCACCAGGCGCAAAACACCTTGTCATCTATCGCAATCAGTCACTTCGCCATGAATCCCCTCATTGCGTGATAGGACTATGCCAGCAATCATTGGGGAAACGGCACATGCCTCTGATCTCCACGTGGCCGTTCACCTTGTCCTGTAAAGGGATGTAGATTCCAATTGGAGGGAATTCTGGATGGCGCAACCACAGGAAGCGATCGCGTCAATCCGAGACTGGGTAAACTTGACATTGACACAGTGTTCATGATGTGTTTTTATATTGTCATTGCAAATCGATATTGGAATTCGGGAAAGAGATAAAAGGCTTGTATTCAGCAGACGGGTTTGGTAGAATTCCTTGCGAAGGACGCGAAGTGATAAGGCTGGAAATGACGGCCATGTCTCCCCTGGATCGAATCCGAGACTGACTTGGGCGAGTTGGCTTGATCATCTTCTCCAGCATGAAGCGTTAGAACAGCTCGCCTCGATTCTCCCTCTATACCCGTCAAAGTGACTCTATCAAGTCATGGAGTCAACAACCAAAGGACCCAGTCATTCTCTTCAAGTCGAAAAAGGGAATTCTGGACATGAAATTCGGTAAACTATCCCTAATAGAAATATTAACGTAAGTTCCTGAATAGGGATAGTAACTACTAAGGAGATCTAGCGCCTCTTTCTACTAATTCCCTCGATTCACCATCCATTACCAAGTACAGAAGTCATATTCCGCATATCTTCATATTGAGGTGACTGCGACACAATGGAAATAGGTAGTAGGGAATGTTTCTCTGATCTGCTGGCCACTGTGCATCATTAGTGTCTGCACCAAGTACTCCTAGAGAAATGATAGAATACCCAAAGAGGAATATTCGACCACCTTGTAGAAAATGTTTCGGCATTAAAAAAACGACAGACCAATCCCAGAGTAAGTCTGGAGGGGCTCTATTCGTCTATGGACTCGGCAAACACGTATCCTATACACGTAGCCCGTCTCCGTCTGCTATTAAGAACGCCGGCTATCCAAGCTCGTTCGCATTCCTGGCTAACTATGTACAACCACTCATACTGTTTCTCCCATGTAAAGCCACCGCACATTTGGTGCCCATGGACCGGCCTTATTCAAAACCGCCCTATCTCTACAGTCGCAACGAGGGAGCGACTTGATTAACCTAGTTCACAGGGACGAGGCTGTGCTTCTCCGACACGAGCCGTGGAATATTCGTCGGCTGTATATGTACAGACCCTCCGACGTTGACCAGCCCGAGCAACAAAGTCTATCGCTGAAATGCAAAACATCAACAAAACAATGCTTTATGGCCGCTCAGAAAAGACCAGCTTGCAGTGATCCTGCCATCAGTGTTAGCGATATAAATGGTTCAATAACAGCGATTGACTCACCTGAGGGAAAATGGTAGCAAAGACCTCAATATCCTCGCTGATGGGAGTGGGCTCATGCTCCCAGTCCAGCAAGATGCTAGCCTTTCCAATCATCGCCATCAAGTTCAGCTGAGCGTAAGTCTGCCCCAAACAGTAATGAGGCCCCGTGCCAAAGACCAGCCAATTCTTGACCTGCTTGTCGGCATCTCCAGTAATCCATCTCTCAGGTTCGAAGCTGTCGGGGTTGGGGTATGCTTCAGGATCATGGGTGGCAGGCCAGATTGACGGAATAATCATGGAACCTTTCTTGAGGGTATAGCCTTCAGTCACGGGGAAATCCTTCTTGGCGACATAGGGCACCAAAATGACTGGAGGACGATACCGCAACGTCTCCTTGACCACCGCTCTCGTCCAGACCATCGACTCCAGCATATCCATGTCAAAGGGCTTGTTGCGGTCGCCACCACGAAGACGGAGGTTTTCCTCTCGGACCTTGTCCAGGATCTCTGGTCGATCAGCCATAATCTGGAACAACCAAGTGCAGGCGCTCGAGGTGGCGTCTTGCGACGCAAAGAGGAAGGTAAAGACGGTTTGTGATATTTCAAAGTCCGTAAAGTCGCGAAGTAATTGGGGTGGTTTCTCAGAATCGTCCACCTTCTCGCCTCGTTCGATGCGTTCTCGATATTTGGCAGAATCCTGTATCTGCTTGACCCATGCGTCCAGAATGCATGTAATGCTACCGCCGGCAGCCATTCGCACTTTGGATTTGGCTGCACACTTTGCAAATTCGACCAGGACCATGTCTGCAGCCTTCTTTCCGTACCAGGTCTTGGTGTAGGGGATGATGATGGGGAAATTAACGAGTTCCAACGCAGCGGTAATCAGATAATAGTCATGGGCAATTTTCTTGACCACTTTCTCGCTCATGTAGTGTCCAACAAAGGTTCTGCACGATACGGCGCACATGAGTTCGCGGAACACGGGCATCCAAGGCGTGGCTTTCATGTTGTTTTCCTTGGACATCTCCAGGAAGGTCTTGAAATACTTGCTGTAGACCTCCTCTTGACCGGGCAAATACATCTCCAACGCTTGACGCGTGAACAGTCCGTTCAATCCCTTGCGGTACTCGACGTGGGCTTTTCCATCCAAAAAGACCCAGTTTGTGGGGCGAAGGAGTTTGGGCGCGACATCGACGACGGTGGGTTTGACGAAGCCTGGCGAATTGAAAACCTTTCGTGCCATATCACGGGTTCCCGCAATGACAACAAATCTGGTAAGACATGACGGTTAGCAAGCCAGGCCGATGTTGCGAGCAAAGCGCCAATTCTGCATACTTGTGGAAAACCGACACACAGCTCAGCTCTGCACTTTCCCATTTCTCTTTGTACTTCCTAAAGTCCGGTCGCATCGATTCGAGAAAGGGGCCGATGAAGGGCATTTTCCACGCAGGGCCGACGATGCCATGCTTGCGCCATTGGTAGCTACCTGTACGACTGGTCAACACCCCGCCTCAAACAGCATTCACTGCAATCATGGTGCTCACATTGATCGTAGGTAGCCAATAACAGGAGAATTGTCAAGACAACAGTCCAAGAATTGAGCTGCGCCCATACTCTGCCCAAGACACCAGAGGCATGGGCCGCCTGAAGCGTCAGATCTGCATTGGCGAGAGGAGAAGCAAAGCTCGTAGCATTTGCGAGGACGTCCATGGCGTATTGGCTGGGGGGTTGGTGTGAAGGGGGCCGCGGCAAACGGGTTGACTTGAGGACCCGATCGAATGGGGGCGCTGTGCCTTGCAGCTGGGCAAACGTCGTATCACGAGGGCGACGTGTCGACGACTTGCTCGTATAAATCCTCCTCTTCTGACACACAAGTTGTTTAGAGTGTGAGAGCGGACAACGACGACAACCACAACCACGAAGACCACCAAGATAAGAGAGGACGGGGGGTTGGTTGTTTGTAGGGCTTTATTTTTACGAGGTACAACCGGAAATTCCTGAGGGGGCATTGGCCTCTTCACCGCCAAATTTGGTCCATGAATTAGAATTGGCGAATTGGCTCCTTCCATTGGATGCGGACCCGTTGTACGATTCAATCTCCCCCGTCGGTTCATGAGTTTCCCGGATGGCGACACTGTTGGTCCTATCAGCCAATCACCCGCAGCTCATATAGACACGCACAACCATCAGTCCACAGTGAGTATGAATACCTCGTACTTGGTCCCATAACAATAAATATATATCCACACTCCAAGCAATCATGTGAGATGTTCTATTCCACAACTACAATGCCACAGGGTCCAACTCTACGAACAGACCACGAATAAAAGGGGGAAGCTCAACTAGAGAGAGAAAAGAGAGAGCAGAGACGAGACATCGATACATCGTGTCCAGTGTGCTCCATTCAGTATCCATGCCATCCATCGTTCCTACTCGTAATACGTCCAGCCCAAAATGCAGAAAATAGTCATGCCATGCTTTTCTTCAGACCTCCAAACGCCCTGTCATACTCCTGTCATCTCATGCTCTCTTTTGATCTACGGAATGTCGAAGATCGGTTTGAGCTTCTTCAGCAATGCCCATTCATCTCGCGTCACCTCATCTCTGTAAAATTCCTTCAGCGTGTCGATCGACCTGCGCGAGATCAGAGAGTACAGCGTGTCCTTGTCTTCCAGCTGTCGTCCGTACATAGGCTGGTTGGGTCCTTCAATCTTGACTGCTACGGACGGCTGGCCCTTCTTGCAGATCGGAATCGCCTTGTGTTCACGCTCAATCGATGCGCTGTGTGCATGTTAGTTTTCTCCATCTATGGTAGCAGGGGATGCTGGTTCACTTACACTCTGCCCAAGGTAATGATTTCCTTCACACCGGTGACCGGATTCGTCTTCACTACCGCAATGGGTGTTAACGGCCGCAGGGCACCCTCGACAACGTCCACGCCCACGACGATGGGATCCTTCTTGTTGAAGACCTGGATAGGGCTGAGCACGCATGGGAACACGGCATGCATCTTGCTCTCTTCCTTCTTCTTTTCCCGCAGCTCTTCCATGTGTTTGGTAAAGGCATCGAACAGGTGATAGATGATATCCGCGGTAAAGATCTTGATGCCGTTCTCCTCCGCGTACTGCTGCGCTTCCTTATCGACTTTGACATCGAAGCAAAGCATTACCGCGTATTCTCTCGCTTTCTCTAGCATAGTGCCCGCCATCATGACATCTCGCTTGTACACCGGTCCAATGGCGATGTTCGCCACGGGGATCTTGCTCTGCTTAAGGAACTCCAGTAAAGCCTCCAAAGAGCCCAAGGTCGAAGCTTGAACGCTGACACCTCGGTTGTCTTTGGATATCTTGCTGAGCAGACTTTGTAGATCCGCCATGACGTCGTCCATCAAGTCGTCCTCATCGTCTTCGGGTCCAACCACCAGAAGCCGAGAACCTGCAATGGCCTTTTCCAGGTCATTGGCAGCGATCTTGACACCCAGA